CATCATCATCATCATCATCATCATCATCATCATCATCATCATCATCATCATCACCATCATCATCATCATCATCATCATCATCACCATTTTCATCATCATGCCTTTCTCGCCCTGCATTAGGGTAACAACCACTTTCCACCTTTCCCTATCCTGGGCTAGCCCCTTGATGATCCTGCCTGACCCCTCTTATAGCTCTTTGTTTTAATTTTTGCTCAATGTTTCTTTTACTTTCAGAGTCTGAGACAAGCTTGTGCCCCGCAGTCTGCATGATCGCGTGACTTCTCCATATCTTCCCCGGGGTCGTCTGCTGTAAAGACAACACACTCACTCGTCTGCTGTAGAAACTACACGCTGATATCGTGCTGACTGCTGCTGTGTAGTGTGTAGTGTGTGAAGTGGCTACGTTTATACGAGGAGCAGCACCCGAAGTGGTGTTTTTTTTTCTTCTTTCTAGTAGCGCAACTCGACATGCTGTTGGAGTAGCTCGAGCTCCTCGCTTTCCTATCTCCGGGCATCGTCGTGTTGAAAAGGGTTGTATCGCGAAATTCTCGAAATTTGAAGAGGGGGGAAGAACAAAGCAGCAAGCGGCCTTGTTTGCGACACTCTCGTCTTCGGTTCTGCTTTGAAATTGGAAGAGAAAAAAAAAACCCCAAGCAAAACGGGAAGTGATCTTGTTGAGAAACTTTTTTCGACTCCCCCCCATCGTCTGCCATAAGTGCCAGAAGTAGAAGCGACTTGTAAAGCCAGAAGTAGAACCGACTTGTACATTCAAGTGATCCAGCATCGTGTACTGTGAACCTCCTACTGCTGCTGCTGCTGCTTGTCGTCTGCCTTTGCTAGCTTTCTGGCGTGCTTTTGCGGACAATTGGGAGCTTGTTACGTGGTCCCCTTTCTGGAAGGAAATAGCAGCACAAGGATATGACGGTTTGTCTAAGGAAAGAACGGGAACACTCGGGGCCTGTTTGTTGAAAAGGACATAGAAGTGATAGGGAAAGTCCCCCGCGAAAGTGAGGTTTTATCACAAGGGTCGCTTGGACCTTCATCGGATCACTTTTGAAAACTGACGCAGAGAAAGAAATTGCCTCTGAAAACAACACCACCACCCAAACAAACCTTCCGATAAAGACTTCTTGGGACGTTGAACTCTTGGGACGTTGAACTCTCGGGACTCCTAATAAAACGTCATCTAGTTGTTGTTTTTCTGAACAGCAACAACCAAAAAAGGGACTGTTGTTGAGTCCTGGTCGCTAGTTGTTAATTAGTTTCTCACAGGTGTGGTGTGGTGTGGTCCTGTGTGGTGTGGTGTGAGCAGGTGTGTGGGTCACGTGAGCAGGTGTGTGGGTCACGTGAGCAGCCACCATGGGTCGCTACTCGGGCAAGACGTGCCGGCTGAGCGTGATGCTGGCCATGACTGCCTCCTTCTTCCTGGTGGAGATCATCGTGGGCTACGTCACCAACTCCATCGCGCTGGTCGCCGACTCCTTCCACATGCTGTCGGACGTGGTGGCGCTCATAGTGGGCTTTGCTTCTGTCAGGGTGAGTGGTTGCTTGTGGTTGTTGGTCTGTTTATTTGTCGGTTTGTCTGTTTGTTTGTGTTTGTTTATTTGTCTATCTGTCTGTCTGTCTGTCTGTCTGGTCGCTGACTCTTTCCACGTAATATGCTCTATGACGTCGTGGGGCTCATAGTGGTCTTTGCGTCTGTTAGGGTGAGTGATTCATCTCTGTGTCCGTGTGTCTGTCTGTCTGTCTGTCTGTTTTCTGTCTATCTGTCTGCCTGCCTGCCTGCCTGCCTGCCTGCTGCCTGTCTTTCTACCTGTAATTTCGAATCCTCTCTCTCTCTGTGTCTCTCTCTTTGTCTCTCTGTCTCTCTGTCTCTGTCTCTCTCTCTCTCTCTCTCTCTCTCTTCCATTCTGTGTCCCTCCTGTCTCGTTCTCTCTGTCTGCCAGTATATTATGTCACCCGTTGGCCCAGTCAAGATAAGTCTCTGTTGCTGTCATAAAACCTCTCGTCCTTTATTATTATATTAGCGAGGCGATAATGGATGGCTTGTGGGTCAAAGGTCAGCCTTCTGATATGGGCTGCTCCTTCTCCTTTCCGCAGCAGCACCTTTATTTCTGATGCTTGCACAAGATTCGAAATTGTCTAAGACGGCTATTCGTGGGTGGTTACCGGGTGCCCTGGTGTGGTTTGCTTCTTCTTTCCTATCAAGCATCAATCGTCCTTATCTCGCCTTCTTTTTTATTTATGTTTGTTACTCTCTTGTAACACCTATAATCTTCTGGCGCTCATAATATGACCTTATGCAGTTGCGAGCGCCGTAAAACTCTTACTAAAACTAAACAAGATTCGGAATTGTCTAAGACGGCTATCCATGGCCGAGGAGAGAAGTGGCTGTCTTAGACAGGTGGCCGTTTTACACAGTGCTGTTAGTGGGTGGTTGGCGGTTGCTCTAGTGTGGTTTGCTCTTTCTTTCCTATTAAGTACGTTTCGTCCTGATCTCTTCTTCTTTTTTATGTTTGTTACTCTCGTGTTACACCTCTAATCTTCGGCACTTTTATGACCTTATTGTGTTGCAAATGCCTTAAAACTCTTACTTAAACTAACCTCTAATCTTCGGCACTATCAATATAAGTTTTACGGTAACTCATCAGGTCATAATATGACCTAATTGGTTGCAAGTACGTAAAACTCTTCTTACTTAAACTACACAGTGTTGATATGTCAAAAATTTGGCAAATGAGGAGATGGGAAGTGGCCTTTTGTATACAGGTGATTGTCTTATACAGGTTGCAGGTGGCCGTTAGAGCAGGTTTGACTGTATTTGCTTTTTTTTTTCATTTTCCGTTTTCCATTTTATTTGTTTCCATAAAGGACTAGCCTCTGCTGATAAGAGATAATACCTTACGGTCCTTTTTCTCTGTTCTGGCAAACCGTAACATTATTTGAAAACAAAAATTGCGAGCTCAGCCCTATTTCCCACGTTAATGCGAGTTCGTCGTTTAGTTTTAAAAAAAAGAGAAAAATGTTTGTTCCATTTGTAGTACGCGGAGCGATAAGGTTTAAGGTTTGAAAAAAACAACAACCCCAACTCTTCTCTTTGCAACTATAACATCAGCCAAAAGTAAAGCGGCGGAAAATGGGTGCTCTGGTATGGTTTGCTCCTTCTTTCCCATCAAACGTCAATCGTCCTGATCTCCCTTTCTTCCTTTTTTATGTTTGTTAATGTTACTCTCTTGTAACACCTCTAATCTCCGGGCGCTCATAATACAACCTTATGCCGCTGCGAGCGCCGTAAAACCTCTACTGAAAACGAAAACTCTCCTCCTTTTTGTGTGTTTGTTACTCTCTTGTAACAGCTCTAATCTTCGGATCTTATATGACCTTATTGTGTTGCAAGTGCCGTGAAACTCTTACCAAAAAAAATAAAATAAAGGCTCTAACTGAACCAGATTGAAAGCAGCCATAATTGTATCAATATCAAGACCAGCTCTAACAAAAAGCCCAACAACGTATTATTACAGCTAGAAACAAAACATAGCACGAAAAACAAAAATCAGAGCTCCAAAAGTGGTGGACTGGTGGGTGCATTCGTGCGGTTTGCTCCTTTTTTCCTATCAAGCATCTATCACCCTTATCTCGTGGGTGTGGGTGGTTGGCGGGTGCTCTGGTGTGGTTTGCTTCTTCTCTCCTATCAACGTCTATCATCCTTGTCTCCCCCTTCTTCTTTTTTATGTTTGATACTCTCTTGTAACACCTCTAATCTTCTGGCGCTCATATGGTGGCCTTATGCAGTTGCGAGCGCCGTAAAACCTCTACTAAAACTAAGACCCTTGTCTCTCCTCCTTTCTTGTGTTTTTGTTTTAGTAGAAGTTTTACGGCGCTCGCAACTGCATAAGGTCATATGAGCGCCGAGGGATGTCAACAGAGAAGTCATTACAGGGAATCAGACTTACTCTGCTCATTTCTCTAGCCTCAACAGCACAGATTTGCTTCGACTATCAAGGCACCCCTGAAATAGCGGGTCACAAGAGTGTGACAAACATACAAAAGAAGTAGAGGAACAATAACGATAGTAAGGATGAGGAAAGAAAAAGCAGCAGTTCCCTGTTGAAATTCCAGCACAGCTATGAGCATGACATTTATTTATGAATCAGCCCATTTGCAATTTTACTATACTGTGCAACAGAACGTGGTAATTCCCCCCCC